AAAAAAAAAAAAAAAGAGTGTGCTACTGGCAAAAGAATAGACAAACAGAACGACAGAACAGATTAATAAGCCCAGAAAAAGACCCACACGAATAGAGTCAACTGCTCTTTAACAAAAGAGCAAAGGCAATTCAACGGACAGAGGATAGTCTTCTTAAAAATGGTGACAGAATAATTGGGCATCCATATGCAAAAAGATAAATCTAGACACAAACTTCCATCATTTACAAAAACTAACTCAAAATGGATCATAGACTTCAATGTAAAATGCAGAACTCTAAAACTCCTAGAGGGGTGCCTGGCTGGCTCAGTTGGTAAAACATGAGACTCTTGATCTTGGTATTGTGTGTGCAAGCCCCATGTTGGTGTAGAGATTACCTAAAAATAAAATATTTAAAGAAAACATGTTAAAATAGTTTTAATATAGTAAAAATATAACATAGGAGAAAAATCTTTGTGGACTTAGATTAAGCAATGATTTTTTTAGATACAATACCAAAAGCACAATCCATGAAAGAAAAAAAATTGATAGGTTGGATTTCATTAAAATTAAAACATCAAAAGAAAAAAAATTGATAGGTTGGATTTCATTAAAATTAAAACATCTGCTGTGCCCAAGACACTATTCAGAGAATAAAAAGATAAGCCACAGACTGGGAGAAATATTTGCAAAACACACATCTGATAAAGGACAGGTAGCTAAAATATACAAAGAACTTTAAAACACAACCCAATTAAAAATGAGCAAAGTTGGGGCACCTGGGTGGCTCAACTGGTTAAGTATCTGACTCTTGGATTTGGCTCAGGTCATGGTCTCACAGATCCTGGGACCAAGCCCCATGTGGATCTCAAAAGAGATATATAGATAACAAATAAGCATAAGAGGAGGTGCTCAACATCATAATCATTTGGGAACTGTAAATTCAAATGATAAGATACCACTATGCACCTATTAGAATGACTAAAATCCAAAAAACTGACAAAACCAAATCCTACAAAAAAAAATCTATGAATATATGTTTATAGTAACTTTCTACATCATTGTCAAAAACTGGAGACAACCAAGACATCGTTCAATAGGTGAATGGATAAACAAAATGTGGTACATCCATATAATGGAATACTATTCAGTAGTACAAAGAAATGAGCTATCAAACCACAGAAGTACATAGAGGAACCACAATTGCATAGTGCTAAGTGAAAGAAACCGGTCTGAAAGATATGACCTCTTGTCAACCATACGACATTCTGGAAAAGGCAAAACTACATCAACAATCAAAATATCAGTGGTTGCCAGGAGGAGGAAGGGAAGGATGCGCAGGTGGAACACAGGGGATTTTCAGAGTAGTGAAATCATTCTAAATGATACTGTAACGGTTGACACATGTCTTCACATCTGCCAAAACCCATAGAACTGTACAACGTAAAGAGTGAAATCTAACATTGGGGCGCCTGGCTGGCTCAGTCCACGGAGCGTGGAACTCTTGATCTCCAGGTTGCGAGTTCAAGCTCCACATTGGGTGTAGAGATTAGATTACTTACTAATAAAATCTTAAAAAAAAAAAAAAAAGAGTGATCCCTAATATAAACAGTCTTTAAAACAACAAAATAGTAAAAAACAACAAAAATAGTTAAACAGCAAAAAAAAGAGTATATATTACCCATATATAGTAACCACACAAGTCCAATAGCTTCCTTACTGTTGTATCCAACTTTTGTAAACAAATAACAAGTAACATTTATGTTTCTCTCATGCCAGTCTCTATGCTAAGCACTTTACATGTGTCATGTCATTTAATCCTTACAAGAATCCTAATGAAATAGATTCCTGATCCTTATGAAATAGATCCTATTATTAATCCCATTTTCAGTCAAAATAGAAACAATTGTGGGATATCTGTGCTTCTTTATTAACCTATCAAATATCAAGCAGTACATCTAATAACTGCCATAATTTTGAAGTAGTGTTGAATGAACAGGATACTTGAGATCTGTGTAATCAGTAATATAATGCGAAAACACCTGTGATTTCTACTGATGGCAAATTACAGCTGCGTCAAACTCTACCAAGGCTTTTGATCACACGCCTCTTAGAGGAAATGTTACATTTCAGTGAGAGGCTACTAAAATAAATTTTGCCACTGAAGTTCACAGACTTTCAGAGTACTAGCCGTGGCTCTCCAGGTTAAGAATCCTGGCACAAGTGACTCTTTTTCATGTTGCCGCATCTTGCAAGTCTCTTTTCTAGCCCTAAAGAAAACCAGACAGGAGCAAAAAGAGGAAAACCAGGCCAATGTCTTACTTTGCAAGGATTCTGACAGAATCTCTCCTCAAATTTTTGCAAAGAAACCAGAACCATGAGAGGGGATGGGGCAGGAACTGTGTTTTCTCTAGGCAGAATCTTCATGGCGCCTGGACTGCAAGAAGTTACTGAAGAGTTTATCGCGCTAAGGATACTCAACCTCTGTAATTCTTCTAATCGTTATTACTTAGGCCTTAAAGGTCCACAGTCAAGCTGAATTCTGTTGAAAGCGTGAAAAAGATACAGGTGGGAGGAAGCTCAGGAGGCACTGAACTTTGACGCCTGCTTACTATAGCCACTACAACGCACTTGTGCAAAACCGTGTCAGATATTAGAAATCATTTTCTTTCCCTTCCTTTGAGGAAACGCGTGTCGCTCACTGGGCATTCTTCTGTCTCTCCTGATGACGACGCGGAGCCAGGGCCACTTAAGACAGGTGCTGCTACGCGAGCCTGGAGATCCCCTCTGGGGGCCCGCGATCCCACCAAGACCCCGGCCAGCCCTTCCTCGCCCCAACCCGGTCCCTGGCGCTCCCGGAGAGGTGGAGGGGCCTCGCCCCAGGAGTGGGGGGGGGGGGCTGCACTCTCGGCGCTGGAGGCGCAGCCCGCGGCCGGTCTGGGGGGGGGGGGGAAGGGCGGTGACGCCTTTACCTGGAAGCTACACGACCCTGGGGCTCCCGTGTCCCACCCGCGCGAGGGCAGCCCCGACGCGCTCCCGAGGAAGGAGCGGCAGATCCGCGCGAGGGTATCGGCGAGGGCTGCAGGGATGCTCCGCAGCTCCCGGCCGGCCCGGGGGGCGTGTGCTTCGCCAGTTCCTGCTTCCGTTGCGGCGGCAGAAAGTTGGCCGGAGGCGGAGGGGAGGGGGAGGTGGAAGGGCACATTCCTGCCCTGCAACCCGGAGCTGCTTCCCGGCCACTTGGAGCGCGGTCCTCCGGGAGCCCCTCCCCGCGGTGGCTCCAGGCGCCCGGCGATCGCGCACTGCCTGGGAAGCAGCCGGCCGCTGCCACCCCACCCGCCCTGCTGCGGCCCCCGCGAGGGGCGTGGGCGCGACCCGCTGGGTTGTCCGCGGGCCTGCAGCGGCGCCCGCTCCTTCCCGAGGCCGCAGGACGCGCGCCCACACCAGAGGAAAGTCAGACGGTGCAAAACGTGTGCCCTGCATTCTGCCTCTGCCTCTGTGTCCCGGACTCGGTCCCCTACCAGAGGGGCAACCTCTGAGGGCAGTTTCTCCCTTCGGGACTTTACACTGCTTTCTATCCGGGGCCCGGCTGTGAGAATCTGCTTTCGATAATTCCAGGCATGGAGGGTCCTCAATTACAGTTAACAGTTCTGCAGTTAGCCCTCACGCGCAGGTCAAGCCTCAACGAAGGCATTCGGATTCTGCCCGGATTTACTGTTTATAGTATAGATTATAATATAATGGTGCCTGCTATAGTTATTAAAATGTATCCCCTGACATTTAGCATAGTACCTGGTACCTAATAAGTACTCAATAAATATTTAACTAAAATATATTTGTCGAGTGAATGAATGGGAAAGAATAGGGCATAGGTTGCAGAAGTGTGTTTCTGAATCAATGCTTGCTCGCCCACACCTCTGTGTACGTGCAAACAGATGCAATTTTACCAAACCACTGATACTTAACTCGCCAAAGGTTCAGACCTTAGACAACATCTCCACCTGGTCTGTGTGAAGAACTTTCAAACCTAAAGCACTAAGCCATTGTAACTTACTGTGCTGGACACAATACAGCCAACAGCTACGTCCTGGTTTTAACCAAGAGCTATAGGAGGCTATGTTGACTGAGAATCCCTGTGAACAAAGGTTGCCTGAAACTAACTCTACCGGTTGTATCCAGAGGATGACCTCCTCTGGAATTACAATGATGTTGCAAATACTTGGCTTTAAAGAGCTATCAAAGGAAACTCCACAGTGATTTCCCATTGGAGTCATTTTCCTGTTGTAGCAAAAGACTGATGTAAACAATACATTTTATCTCTGCAGATGATGTACTTGAGGGTCTTGCTAGGGAAAGGTCACATTGTTTTAAATCTCCCTTCACAGCATAGTCCTCGCTAGGCACTAATGAGACCTTTCCTTGATTTAGAAGCTTCAGATTTTGGATTTTAAACAATGACCCTGTTATCGTTGAAGTGACATATTATTTTTTCAGTTATGACAGTGAACAGAGGACATTGATGAAAAGAATGATTAAAGAAATTTTTTCCATTGATATGAATTAGGTGTTTACATTAGAAATAGTATCTCTTTTCATCTCACTGCCTGAAAAGATTCTTGATCCTCTTCTCCTGGAACTTAGAAGTTCCATTTATGTGGAGGCAAAAATTTTTTTTTTAAGTATTTTATTCAGAAAACATGGATTAAACACCAGGGAAATTAAAGACCAATAAAACATTGGATCTACCTTCAAGGTGCTCATAGTGGGGAAGACAATCAAATTAGTTATTGTGTAAAGAATAAATGTAGGGGCGCCTGGGTGGCTCAGTCGGTTAAGCGGCTGACTTCGGCTCAGGTCATGATCTCGCGGTCTGTGAGTTCGAGCCCCACATCGGGCTCTGTGCTGACAGCTCAGAGCCTGGAGCCTGTTTCCGATTCTGTGTCTCCCTCTCTCTGACCCTCCCTGTTCATGCTCTGTCTCTCTCTGTCTCAAAAATAAACAAACGTTAAAAAAAATTAAAAAAAAAAAAAGAATAAATGTAATGATAGAAGATGCTAACTCAGGAAGCTCAGAAACGGGATGTATAATCTGGACTTCTGGGAGGAGATAAAAAATTCCATCTTTTTTTGTTTGTTTGTTTATTTTGAGAGAGAAAGCATGGGCGGGGGAGAGGCAGAGAGAGAGAGAGGGAGAGAGAATCCCGAGTAGGCTCTACACTCTCAGCCCAGAGCCCGACATGGGGCTCCATCCCACAAACCGTTAGATCCTGACCTGAGCCAAAATCAAGAGTTGGATGCTTAGCTGACTGAGCCACCCAGGCATGCCTCAGTCTTTTTTTTTTTTTTTTCCCAAAGACTTTATTTTTTTTTAGAGCAGTTTTAGGTTCACAGTAAAATTGAGAGGAAGGTTCCCATATACCTCTTGCCCCCACACATGCATAGCCTTCCCCATTATCAACATCCTCTATCAGAGAGGTACATTTCTTACATCTGATGAACCTACACTGATACATCATAAATTACACAAAGTCCATAGCTTGCGTATGCTCACTCTTACTGTATTACACTCTGTGGATTTGGACAAATGTATAATGAGGTGTATCCACCACTATAGTATCATACAAAGTATTTTCCTTGCCCTAACTGTCCTTTGTGCTCAGCCTATTCATCCCTCCCCTCTTCACAGCCCCTGGCAATCACTGGTCTTTTTATTGCCACAGTTTTGCCTTTAATAGAATGTCATATAGTTGGAATCATATAGTATGTAGCCTTTATGGATTGGGACCTTTCAGTTAGTAATATGCATTTAAGTTTCCTCCATGTCCTTTCATGGCTTAATAGCTCATTTCTTTGTTTTGTTTTCATTTTTATTTTAATATTTATTTAATATTTATTTTAATGTTTAATGTTTTTATTTTTTAATGTTTATTTTTAAATGTTTACCAGTATTTAACGGTTAATGTTTATTTTTTAATGTTTTATTTAATGTTTAATGTTTATTTATTTTTGAGAGAGAGAGAAACAGAGCACGAGTAGGGGAGAGGCAGAGAGAGAGGGGGACACAGAATCTGAAGCAGGCTCCAGGCTCTATGCTCTCAGCACAGAGCCCGACACAGGGCTTGAACTCAAGAGCCGTGACATCATGACCTGAGCCAAAGTTGGGTGCTTAAATGACTGAGCCACCCTGGAGCCCAAACAGCTCATTTCTTTTTGGCATTGAATAATAAACATTCCTTTGTCTGGATGTACTGGTCTGTTTATCCTTTCACATACTGAAAGACATCTTGGTTGCTTCCAAGTTTTGCAGTCATGAATAAAGCTGCTATAAACATCCATGTGTAGGTTTTGTGTGGACATAAGTTAACCTTGAAGGATGAAGTTAAGTTAGCTAGAGGGAGAGAAAAAGTCTGAATATTCCAGGCAGAGAAAATGACATGAGTATCCAGGGAATTTTATCCTGACTGGCACGAAGTCTCCCTGTGTACATAAAGGAATGGAGAAAAAAGGCTGGGGTCGGAGCAAGAAGGTGTTCATGTGCCAAATTTTAAACTTGATCCTGAAGCCACAGGGAGTTATTGAAGGTTTTTATAGGGCATTGGCAGGTCCAAAGAACTTATTAATATTCTAAAAATTCTGTCTGCCAGCCACATGTAGGATGGATTGACGGAGGTAAAGCCAGAGGCCTCCTGTTTTCCAAGAAATTGAAGAAGGGAGGAGGCCCTGAACAGGGTGTGGAGACAGAAGAGAAACTAAGGAGAGAGGCTCTCCAGACTTGTGACTGGTTGGATGCGGCGGTAGAGGTAAGCAGATTTATGGCGTAGGAAACCGGTTGGAGTGCCAGGCAATATAAAGATATAGGAGGAGCAGTCTGGAATGGATAAAAGCATAATGAGTTTCAGAGAATTTGAATCCTGGTTTCATTACTTATTAGCTTCATGATCAAGAATAACCTCCTTAAAAATAAAAAAATAAAAAAAAAAACTCCTTAACCTCTGTGTAAAGTCACGAAAGCATTATCTACGTTATAGGCCCATCATACTGGGCCAATATTAGGAAAGTACTTTATAAACCCCCAAAGCCGGTTCAATTGTTATTTATTATGTATATAGGTCACATAGTTGCTGTTCACGTGGAAATGGTTTTCAAGGTGCTAAAAGGCATCAGTCTCAAATGTCTTCTACCTCTAAAGCCCCTCCAGCAGAATCCTTGAAGTATAAATGCCCAAATCATTTTCTTGCCAACAGACTGTAAGCTTCCTAAGGATGGGGACTGGGTCCTGTTGGATCATTTATTACTAGCCTCTAGCAAGTGCCCAGCACATTTATAGGCTACCAATAAATGCTGAGTAAAGGAATAAAGACATTTTATCTTTCTATATCTTTCCTCTGATAACACCTTTATTGAGATATGTCACATACCATAAAAGTCACCTAATTAAATTGTACCATTTAGTGGTTTTTAATATATTCACAGGGTTGTACAACCATGACAATAAATTTTGAACATTTTCATCACTCCCACAAAGAAACCCACACACCCGTTAACAGTCACTCCCCTTTTTCCCTTCCACACCCCTCCTGTTCAGCCTTAGGCAACCACTAATCTATTTTTGTGTCTATAGTGCCTCTTCTGGATATTTCATATAAATGGAATCTACAATATGTGATCTTTTGTGATGGACTCCTTTCCAATAGAATAATGTTTGTAAGGTTTATCCCTGTTGTAGCACATTTTAGTACTTCACTCCTTAGTGAGGAGCACATACCATTCTATTATATGGATATACCGCATTTTATTTATCCATTCTGAAAAAAAAATGGTGATGTAGATCTCAGCCTCTGTCCCCACAAAAAGATCAATCATTAGTTATCCACAACAAAAGCAGCTCTGGGAGAACTCTGGAATTCACTTAAGAAACATCAGCAACACAGTACAACAAAAAACTTGAGAATAGTCACATATATAGAGGAGGAAGATAGCTTCATTCTGACTGCATCATCCTTTCCTCCAAGCCAGCACTGCTCAGCACCAAGAGGAAACCTCCCAGCTGGAAAGAGTTCTCCTTGGGGCGCCTGGGTGACTTGGCTGGTT